TTTTATGCAAAAGATCCCACTGCTTCCAAGGCACTTTTCACACTCCAGGCATTTATATGGTTTCATCCTTCCATGGGTATAAAGTGAATGATTGTGTGAAAATCCCTTCTGCGCTTGAGTCACATACGCAGTTTCTCCCCAGTATGTGTTCCCTTTATCTCTTTTTGTGAATCTTCTGCCTGCTTCTGTCAGGGCATGTTCAAAACATGGTGTTATGCTTGGTATCGGACTGATGTAAGATCTGCCATAGGCTTCCCTTTTGCCCTCCATGGTGCAGAAAGTACACCTGAAACCTTTGGGGAAGATCATTTAGAGTCTCAGGGTGGGGCACCATCAGCTCTACTGCTCCAGATTCAGTTCCAAGGAAACAGGAGGGACTCTTGTACGCTGCCTCTGTTCAATAACAGACTTGATGAGGGAGATCAGGTTCATTTAATTTCGATCTGAGAAGATGGAAGCGCTGATGGACTTGGACCTGGGAACTGAGCTTCAGCCTCCTTTCCATGAGGAAGCTGTCCCTTGAAAAAAAGTGGTTCTCAGTCTGGGTGTGTTCATTCATCCTCAGTTGTCCTTGCATTTGCAGACAGCTCTAAGAAAAGGGAAGCCTTGGAGAAAATGGGAGGGAGAGCCATCTGGGTGGAAGGTCCCATCTCTTGAGAACCTGGCCCATCAGACAGCCCAATTCTCTAGCAGTCACATATTTGTGATGATCCCTGTGTGTTTGTTAGGACTTTCAAATGCCATCATTATAGACAGAAAAACATAAAGAGGAGTTAAGGAAGAATTAGGGGAAACATCCAGTTCTTTTATTAATCCTAAACAGCATATTTGCAATGGATCCTTTCTCCAGGATCCTCTGCCCAGTTCTTGCCCAGATCTCCCCACAGCTCCCAGGTTGAACAGCAGAAGGGCCTTTTCCAGTTCCCTCACTTGTGAAAGGTTGTCTCTCCATTCTTTCTCTATCCTGTCACGCAACTCCAAATTGGTCAGAGGAATCTTGTGGATCACCAAATGCCTTTTCATTTATAGGTTTGTTTCTGTAGCTGCAGGAATGACCACAGCAAGCGATTCAGCCCTCTTTGTCCAAGAGACACTTGTCTGTATGCAAGGACGTAGAAATGGCTTCCAGTTTGTGTATCTGAGATGGAAAAGAAAATGAATTCCAAGAATTAGAAAATGGTGGATTTAACCATTGAACAACACTCATCCCCATGGAAGGAACTATTTTTCTGAGCTGGTATAGGATGGCAGTGGCACTGAGCAGATAGGTCCTGTGTGTCTGTGTATGGTGCAAAATATGGAATTCACTTCCATCAAAGACTTGGAATACCCAATAAATGCATTTCAGAGGATTTTCTATTTTTTTTTCTCACAAAGAAGGGCTTGCTTTTTAAAATCCTAGATCTACACTCACCTACAAGCACAGTTCACACAACATGCCAAACACCAAACAGGTTAACAAATCATAAAACTTCAGTCCACATAAAATGAAATGCCAATGAAATCCTGGCTTGGGAGGTTCCATTTCTCTTTTTTCAGGGTTTGCTTTTCAAGAGCCAAGTCACACTATGACACGCAACCAGGTTTATACAACATGCCGTAAGCCCAAACAGATCCACAAACCGCAGGGGCCGAGTTCACACAAAGCCCAGGGCTTGAAAGAATGTAGCTTGAGATGACGTCCTGGTTCACTCACCCTCCTAAGACATGTTGAACTGCAGAGAATCCAACCCTATTTTAG